CTCCTCTCCTCTCCTCTCCTCTCCTCTCCTCTCCTCTGCTTCTACCTCTTTCCTTACCTCCTGCCACATTAACATGGACCTCAGCCAAGGCTAACTGGCACTTCTTTCACTTTCAATTATTCCTCTTTGTGCTTGCTTCCATGTGGTTGCTTATTACCACTGATTTTCAAGCGGAAGGTTTTTTTGATTAAAGTTTTCATCTCCCTACTCATTTATTTTCCCTTCTGTTTATTTTTCTACCCATCATTCACACATCTTAGTTCTTTCAGACCTAATTACTGGTTTCTCCTGGTGTGTCCCACATGCTCCGCTTTGATTCATCACTGTCTGTGTTTTCCCTTCCCAATTTGCATGTCATGGCAGTCTGTCTAATTGACATGTCTTTTTCTTCTTTTGTTATGAATGTTGGTGCATAGGATAGTTACAAACTTTGATTTGCAGTTTTCACATAAGGCAAACACACATTTAAAATGTAATGGGGATGGGGCATTAGAATACAATATGTCCAATAACAGAGGTTGAAATTTGAGATTATCATTCTGCATTAAATTAAAGGATTGTGTTTCTGGATTGTGTTAAGTAATCTTTCATATAATCATCTTCGTACAATGGATACATTTTCTTTTAAATAGTATTAAAACAATAAAAGAAATCCAGAGTCTATGTGTCAACACTGACAAAAAAGGAGAACTGATGCAGTGATCATCAAGCCTGGACTAAAAAATTCTATAGTAAGCTACTTAGGGATCAGAAATATTTTCAAAAACCAACAAAAACAAGGATTTTCTTTTCATTATCTGAAATATTGCAATCCATAAGAAAAGGCTCAGATAGGTTGATATTCAAGCATGAACCACCACTGCCCTTACAAAACAGCCCCAAAAAGGAACATTTTGTGTAGAGCTTAGTCTGTTTGCCAAACAGCTCTTTGGAGTCCGTATGTTTTTCATTTTATTGTACTCTTTTTGGGGGCTTCGTTCTGAAATAAAAATTGGTTCATAAAGAATTTACAGTATTAGACTTGCTTGAGGGAAAAATGATGAGTGCCTTTTAATGACTGTATCTAGTAAAAACAGGGAAGTACTTTCATTTAAACCATTTTTAGCAGAAAAAACGGTATGCCATAAACAAATAACTGCCACATTGGAAATCACTTTTGTAAATGAAGACACATGAGGTATAGGGAGTTGTAAACAATTGTGTTGAGCTGTGGCAGCTGCACTCCCCCACTCCTAAGCCCCCTGCACCACCCTTAGATCTGATGACTGACTGCAACTCCCACACTGCACCTGTTCCCCACCAGAACAGAAGGACTTTGTGAGCACGAAGTTCTGGTAGAATATGCACAATATGTTATTCTATTGCCTTTTGCAATAATAGACTCATCTGTCACTGAGGGTGAGACAACTGTTCGATGTCAGCTACAACCAGAGTGATTGTGACACACATATCATCAGTCTTACCCAGGTCACTAATGCAGGAACACTTTTAAGCCTTGCATCATGACAAAAAGCTTTGCAGGCACATTCCCATTTCCGATAGCTTAAGCTCCAACCCCAGATTAATAGCCATTTAACGCTTCTAATGCACATCGACCAGCTAGTACAATATTTCCTTCTCTAATTCTTTTAACCCATCTGCTAGCAGCAATCAGTCAGAACATTTTCCTCAGACAAGAAACAGTTAAGCTCAATTGTTTATGCACTCTGTTACTTCGTTCTTATCTATTGTCCTTGGTGCTCGCACCAAGAACCCTCTAGTGGTACCACACACAAAAACATTTTTCTTGCTTTTACATCTATTAATCCATGTCCTTTTACATGTCTCCTTGCAATTGTACTTGTACTTATACTATGAATTCCTATTCTAGAAGCAATGCACTGCAGAGGCACCAACTTTTCATTATTCTTTTCTCACTGAATCCATTAAATTTTTCAGACAAAACATTCACGGCCACATTTTTAAGTTCTCTCTCTCTGTAGCTTTTTTTTCAGAAGCCTTGGTTTGTGAATGTGAGTTTGATTGAGTGCTGTAGACCAGCGTTTGTTTGAACAAGCCATGTCCAAATGTCTAGCAGCCTTCCTTTTATGCTCAGTGAACACAGAAAATATTTTTGGGAATGGTAATGCTGTGTCAATATCCAGCCTGTTCAACAGAGGCCTTTCTCACCTCCTGTTTGACCCGCAAAGGGAGAAATGCAAACTCTTTCCCCCTAAATGCCTTTTCATGGCGATACAAATACTGCCTTGTTAGATGGACTGAACTTCGTTTTGCATGAAAGAAATAAGGAAATATAGGCAAGCAGATATTGCAAAATGACATAGGATGTATAAATATATTAATGCTCTGAAGCAAGTGTGTGGTATTGTGTGTCTGTTGCTGACCACCTGCTGTGCTCTCCCCCTGCTAAAGTGAGGTCACGTCTCAGGTCTCCCACGGCAACAAGAGCAGCACTCTGAGGTTCCAGTGTTTCAGAGCCATGATATACTCCAAGCGTTTACACAGGTGGCTGTCATATGGCCTGTTAGGATGCATGCATTCGTATGCACTCTTCTCAAACACCAGCCTTTTAAAAATGTACATATAGCTCTGTTTGTGTGATAATTCATTGCGGTAAGAGATAAAGATAAGAAAATGTTCAAATGTTCCTCCTGTTCCCACAAAGTGCTTTGCATTCACAGTTCTCAGGTTTCTGTGTGTGTGATACCATGCAGAGAGAAGGTGTCGTTTCTGATGAACCACAGGTGAGTGAACAGGAAGAATTATGGGCCTTTTTTAATTGGAAAGCCAGGTGTGTTATTTTTGACTTTTGATTTTGCTGAGTAAAGACATTATTGAGACCCAACATTTCATCTTTTTATCCACAAAAGTTTAAAAATAAGTAATATCACGTGTACAAGTAAGAAAATATATCCCTAAAATCTCTTGTAATAAATAATTTCCAAGTATCACACTGTGCACTGTGCCCACAGTTGAGATGGCAGGTTCAGTTCAGTTTATCATAATATCCTGAAGGACAATTCAGTTGCAGCACAAATCAGAGATACAAAAAAGTATTTACGATGTGAAAAAAGTATGTTTCTCATTTGAGTGTCAGCAGTGTGGTGCGCTAAATACATTCTTCTCATAAAACTTATTTCCAATGTTACCCGGTCTCCATCTAGTGCTTGGCAAATAAGTCAATTATCACTAGTTTATTTTCTTTACTTTATTTGGCTTTCAGATAATATTTTGAAGACATGTGCTTAGAAATTAGAAACCCAGCCTGGATCAATTCAGTGCAGTGCTGTCACAGATGGTGCAGAGAAGGAATAGGTTACACCTCTGGAGTCATATGACCTGGACACATTCATCATCATGGTAACCAGTAAATAATCTACAGGTAAGTGGATGAGTTTGCCTACTTTTCAGCCCATACTACCTTAACTTATCATCGCCCATCTCTTGTATGGTTACACTGCTGTTTATATGTATAACTGTAAGATGAGAAAAACAGGCCTGTTAATCAGCTTTTCTCCACTGACTGTCTCTCCCTTTAACCATTTGTCTCGAGCACACTATGATTAGCGCTGGCAGACCAAATAGACATAGATGATACAATCATGGAAAGGAGGCTCTGTTTTAAGTAGACTAAACATCAGCCTCCAGCATGTACTCCACTGCAGTTTGTTTCCTAACAGTTTATAATCCCGCTGAAATGTCACTTAAACACTGTCTTTAACAATAAAAGTAAAACACAATAATGAACATATGTAAAAGTAGAGGTTGGAATTTTTAGGAAAACAGTTTCAAATAAATTTTGGGTTTTGCAAAAATAAAAACTTGTATTAAACACAAGTAATTAGGTTCAAGTGTAAAGATATGTATTACTGCTTGGAGTGTGAGTGTGTGAGTGTGTGTAGCCAGGTATTTGTTACCAGAAATATGCTGTGTGGAAATGAGTAAAAATACTCATTTGTGTCTTAGAAGTATTTCTACTCCTGTGCAGAGTGGGTGGGTATCTTCTCCATTCATGCTTGGGTCCTCTAGACTTTAAAGACTTCATAACCATCACTGTTTCCAACAACCTCAATAAGTTGTTACATCAATGTTGATTTTTGCTCAATTTCTGTCTTAGTCCATTAAATAACATGCTTCTGTCATTTCATAGTTTTTTTACATATTAGTATAAAAATGTCCACAGCTGGTATTGATTTTGTTATTCTCTAGATAAAGACTATTATACTGTAAAAACACTGTAGAGTACAATACTCTGTTTATTTTATTTTCATATCTGTTATTTTTATACACTTTTCTAAGGTCGACATTGTGTGACTACTTCTAGTATAATCTTTGCTACTGTAAACACCACAATTTCCCTATTGTGGGACAATAAAAGGGATTTTCTATTCTATTCTATTGTATTCTATTGTATTCTATTGTATTCTATTCTATTCTACCAGAGGCCTGGAAGCTTGGGGATTCTTCACAGTATCTCAGCTGTAACTAGAAGTGACCATTTCTGCATCCCTGATGTTTCTCCTGGTATCTGTTGGAGTGTTACTTTTCCAGTCTGGGTGTTACTTTCCCTAGTGCTCCATTGGGCAGTTCAGTTACCTTCCCCTTCAGGCTCTCTTTAGTTCTTCCCTTGGATCTTGGTATTTCTACCATTTTTCATGTTCTTTTTTTCTTAACGTTTTCATCCTTTTGGATGGCCACATCAATCACTACAGCTTTTCTCTGTTGCTTATAAATGATCACACTTGGTTGGCCACAACCATTTTGTGTGTCTGGTAGTCCCACACGATCTTAGCTTATCATTCTCCACCACCTTGGGA